TTTTTTTTTTTTTACCATAGGCCTATGCACATTGTTCCTTCCGCCTAAAATGCATACTGCATGTGCACATACACTTCCCAGCACTCTTTTTATTTAATCAATGCTCAATTATTAATTCCTTAAAGAAGGATTTTCTGATCTCCATAAGTCAGATTTCCTCATCAGAGGCTCTCATGGTACGATGCATTCTTCCTTCTATACTTGAATGGATGAAGAGATCCCTTATCCCCTCTCATGGCAAGTGCCAAATGTTAGTCTTTCAGAAGACGGACCAATAGGCCTGGGAAGTCATAGGATTTCCCAAGCTCCTCTGTGGCCCTACCCAAAATCATGGTGAAAGCCACGCTACAAGAGCTATGAAAATAGTGCAAAGCTCAGAGAGAGGGGTAGATGTGAAAGAGAATTCTCCTGAAAGAAAGGAATCCAACTACCTCCAACATGAACTCGATGTGAACAACAGTGGTGGATTCTGGGAAGAGTAAAATGAAGAATACCACAGCAAGGCAAGTTGCCAATAGATCCGTACCCTCCTCATGGTTGCATGTCAACCCAGAAACACACACACACATACACACACAAGTTACTCAAAGTAGGAGGTTTTGTATCATGCTGTGAGATTCACAAAGTAAAAATTCTGGAGACTGGTAAACCTTCAGATTCTGCTACCATTGGAAGGAAGACTACAGACCTTATTGCACCCACTTCACAGACTGGAATGTGCAGCCCAGGTCCTAATCCTAGACACTCTTTCAGAAGCAGAGATGTAGAGACAAGGGTCCAGACCCAACCCCTTTACTCCCAATCCATTGCTCTCCCCTCTACTGGTTTTCTCATCCCCCCCATAAAATCATTTTCCTCTTACAGAACTCCTAATTTATAAGCCCTAAAAAATGGGCTTCTAGATAAATTTGTAATAGGCTCACATGAGTTTCTCCTGTACCCCCTTCCAACCCAAATCTCCAGCACTCACATGACAGAGTAGATGGGAGCCAGCTCTGGGGCGGTCCCGCTGTTGAGCGACTTTGTCTTCCTCAGCTTATTCCCCATCTACCCTAGACAAGGCATCAGAAGTCTCATTTTATTTCTTCAGTTGCCTGTCAGGTCATATACTCATTCAAGTAGCAGGGATATTTCTATTAGGTCCACTCACCCTGGGACCAGGGAACGATTTGTTTCTCTAAATGAAAGGAACAAATGCACAGTATGCCATTACCCCAAAGCACTAGGTAGGAAGAAAGCCGACAGAGTGGGCAGCTTCAGAGTGAAGAGCTGTCTAAAAAAGCCTCAGTAAACCTTGCTGAAGTCAGAACAAGGTATTACTGGGCTACGAGCCAACAGCAAAGCGCTCTTCTTGCTACCCTGAATGTAGGGTGAAGTTCCTCTCACAGATAGTCCAGTTAGACCACTGAACAGCATCTAAGCCCCAGGCTACTGCTATACAGGAAACTAAAGAGAAACAGAAGAACTAGATCTTTTATCTAACCTCCTCCCCACAGCCTACCTCTTATCTGCCTGAAAGAATGGAGAGATTTTATCATTGCCATTACAAAAAAAAAAAAAAAAATCTTTTAAGAACTACCTTTCTGCTTGGACAGACACGATCAGTACTGAGATACTCCACAGAAAGTGGAGAACATCTGAACACTGTTCTGATGGCCTATAGAGGGAACCTTCTATGGAAGAATGCAAAAGTAGGGAGTGGTGGCAATGAGCTGCCACCCTCTGCCTCCAGTCACATTTTAGTGAAGTCCCATGGCCCATTAGCAATCCCTAAATCCTATTTTTTTGAAGTACTATTGACTTATATTCATCTAACATAAACCGTGCTTCCCTGAAAATAAGACCTACCCGAAAAATAAGCCCTAGCAGGATTTCTATGCATATGTTAAATATAAGCCCTACTCCCCAAATAAGACCTAGTGTTGGGTGTGGCTATGTAGCATATCTGCATAACCACACCCTGCATTTCAGCTCGGAGCTGTAAGGAAGACTGGAATACCTTTTATCTGCCACAGCTCCTTTCTCTGAGCAGTTGGCACTAACCTGATCGCAGGCATCCTACTGCACAAGTGCGAATGGCTAGGGGAAAGGAGTTCACGCATCACTAGCACCAGCCCCACAAACAAGGTGGGTTCCCCCGTCAAGTTCCAGAACAAGATGACTTAACTGTATTTGAATAAATGTAGATTGTTGTATTATACTTAATAAAAATAAGACATCCTCTGAAAATAAGCCCTAGTGTATCTTCTTGAGAAAAAATAAATATAAGACAGTGTCTTATTTTGGGGGAAACACGGTATGTATTGAATACCGACTCCATGCTAGCATTTTGAATACATGCTCTCATTCGATTTTCATAACAGTCATGATTATTTGTATTTAGAGCTGGAGGAGATGAGTTTCAAAAAGGTAAATGACTTGGCCAACTTATAAGTGTCAGAGTTGAAAGTTGACTGCCAAGCCTAGTTCAAAGTCCATGACCACCTATTTCAACCATACCAGGAGAATGAAGCCTGGGACACAAACTACTATGGTCCGAGTTTGGGGCCAATCTACAATGCCCTTAACCAATCACTTCAACTTTCTGGACCTCAGTTTCCTTTTATTTAAGAGAAAAGAATTTTACCAAAGAAACATGCAAAATTCCCTTCCAATTTAAATTTTCCCATTGCACTGTGAATGGGATAAGCGCTTTAAGAGATATATGAGTAAACTACTCTAGGAACATCCAGGGAATGAGAAATTGTTTATAGCTGGGAGAATTCAGGCTCAGGTAAGCCTTTATAGATGAGACAACATTTCAACTTGGCTTTAATAGTGGGAAGTGGGCAATCCAGGCAGAGGAGTGGAGCAAAATGTATATGAGTGAGAAAGCAGATGACATGTGTCAGAGACAGCATAACATTCAGAGTTATTTCAGAAAAGGATCTGTAGTGGCAAAATAATAAGCTGAATCTACATCAAGAGAGGCAATGAAATCTGTCATCTTTCCCCAAAGTCCTGGGGAACAATGACAGTTTCTGGCCAGGGACTGATATGCAAGGTTTCTCACCCTTGGCACTATAGACACTTGAGGCCAGAAAATTCTTTGTTGTATATGTGTGGAAGGGTTGTCCTGTCTATTGTAGCACCTTGGCCTCTCCCCGCTAGATGTCCACAGCAACTTATTCCTCCTCTCGACCAAGTTGTGAAAACCAAAAATGTCAGCAGACACTGCCAAATGTCCCCAGGGGTGGGGAGAGGCTGT